AAAATGCTGGCAGTTTTTGCTGTTGAATAAACGGCTATAAGTGATTTTAGGTCAAGACGAAGAGATGGTATTTTTAGGGATTGTAGTCGAAAGTTCAAGCCTTAATTTAAGCTTAAGTGGAAGGTTCTATCACCTTTTGTTTAATTGCAGCAGGGACTCAAACTTCGCCAAAAGTCAAATTTTACTGCTCAATAAATGACTATAAGTGACCATAAATTCAATGTGCAGGAATGATATTTTCAAGGATAGTAGTCGAGGGTTCTTGCTTTAATCTAAGCCTAAGTGGAAGATTCTATCACCTTTTTTCTCTTTGCTAGAGCTTCTCAAATATTGCAAAACCCCGATTTTTTGACACTTTGACCTCGACTTTCTCAAAACCTGTACGTGTTGGATCCTTTGTACTTACGGATTCGTAATCAGCACAAAAAAGTCTATCAAAAATAGCTTTAACATTTGTCGCACCAACATTTTTTTTTTTTCATTTTTGTTGGCCTGTGTAATTAATATGTTTTTGGAAATGTCTAGCTCATTATACATATAACACCGCGCGATAGTAAGTTTTAAACACAAATATCAATATATTCACGAAACCATGGGCCAAATATAGTAAATTGCGTTTTTAGTTTTTCGCTCTGACGTCAGTGATTTAAAAATGATGATTCAGAGAAATGTGGTTAGAGAAGAAGTATGGGTATAAAATTAATGAGGAAATACTAGAATTTAAACAGATTCAAGTTTCTGGTGCAGAAGGGCTGGTTAATATTGAAAATCTCATTTTAAAATTTTATCCTTGAAATTTCGCAATATTGGTTTTTGAAAAAAATATATGTTAAGGACTTGTATAAACTCGATAACATCCTCGAGTTTCATTCTTCTAACTTTGTCAGTTAAAAAATTACCTATTCGTCCTTGTTAATCCAAAAATTCAAATTTTTTAAATTCTAAAGAAATTTTCTATTGCATTTGTTACCCATATATTTTTTCTACATTGCATTGAATTTAAATTGAAAAGTGTGTCATATATTTAACTTTTTTATAATTTTGCAATGCAGTTTGCTTTTACAGAATATGGTGAAAATAACAAAACAATAACTTGAAATTTTAGTGCCCGTGGAGTACGCCCCTTTGGCGAGATAAAAGTGAACACTGATTGCAAATTTTTTTTCCTTTGTCAACTGAAGCACCTCTTTTAAAACTACCGACACACAAAGTTTTCCAAATTGAAGCCATTGCTTTGGCACTTCCTTCTGCGAAAAATCGAAGAGGTGCGCAAGCTTTTATGAGCGGAGGTATTGAAGCTGAACGAAAAGGTTCATCTGTTTATTAACCAATTATACTACAGTTTCTTTTGGAAGTCCTCTATATGCTTTGAATATGAACACAAAAAATGATCAGAATGAGAAGAGAAGTCGACTTAGCCAGCTGTCCGTGTACACGATAACTCGAGACAAATTGAGATATCTCAACGAAATTTGGTATGTAGGTGGCCCTTTATCCAAGGTAGGTTGGTATTGAAAATGGGCGAAATCGGACTGTAACCACGCCCATTTCCATATAACGGTATTTTCGAAAAATGCAAAAACTGCGATATTTCTGTAAATATTAGATGCAAATTGTTGAAAATTAGTATGTGGAGTAGAATTGTGGTGAAAAATAATATTATGAAATTTTTCGAAAATGGGCGTGACCCCGCCCACTTATGATAGTCGCTTCACCAATCCTTACAAAACTCTACACGAGGCTTGGATAGGGTCTAGATAAAAAATCTGTTGAAAATCATTGAAATCGGGCAATAACCACGCCCACCTGCCATATATGGTAATTTACTGAAACACGAAAACTGCAATAAATCAGTAACTGCTTGAGCTAATTCACTTAAAATCGATGATTAAAATAACCTTCTTCTTCTTTTTTGGCGCTGTAACCGCCTAAGCGATTTTGGCCGAGTTCAGCAAAGCACGCCAGTCGTTTCTCCTCTGTGCCAACTGACGCCAATTGGAAACGCCAAGTGAAGCCAAGTCCTTCTCCACCTGATCTTTCCATCNTGCAGCCGCACCTACTGGTGAACAGACGCTGCAGACTTCAGTGAGCCCTTAAACCGAATAAGTCAGAGTGGCCCCACCGAAGCTCCCTCTCTTTCTGCCGTGACCCAAGGCTCCACTCGGATTGGTTACCGCATCTCGCACATGGGTTGCTCACGTTGCCCAGAGTGCGCGAACGAGGACGCAAGAGTCGGGATTGAGTATAGCCATGCAACTGTAACTGCATACCCAGCGCAATGACTATACCCCATTGCACTCCACTAAAATAACCGCTATTAAGAAATTAGAATATTGTAAATTTTTGGATACTGGGCGTGGCGCCGCCCATTTATGACCACAAAAGTGTATCTCGGTAACCGATTTATCAATTTCTACCAAACTCGGTGCACTTAATAACCTTGGTACGGAAAAGTAATTTGTTGAAAATTGTTCAAATCGGACTAAAATTACACTCGCTTCCCGTATAACGGTGAATTTCAGAAATACGAAAACTCTAATATTTCAATAACTGGGGATGCTAATTTACTCCAAGTTAATAGTTATAACAATCTCTTAACAATAAATAACTCCTATAGACATTTAGGAATTGGGCGTAACACCGCCCACTTTAAAACTGCAAAGGTGTACCTCGGTAACCACTTAATCGATTTGTACCTAACTAGGTTCAATTATATCATTAAGTCTATCTCTGCATATTATCGAAAACGTTTGAAATCGATTAAACACCCCTACTTATCATGCAAAGGTAGTTCAAAAAAAGTTGGAACGACAATATTTGATATCTACGCCGGGTATATAAAGTTCGGTTTCGCCCGAACTTATACTTCTTTACTTGTTTATACTGTAATTCTTAATTTTGTACTCATTTGTTTATTGAACAAATTATATACCAATCGAAAGAATTAAGTCTATAGAATGTGAAAACGTTGGGTTGTCTATTTTTTTCTGGCCTACCTATCGTGTTGGTAGGTATGAACAGGTAGGTAATATTACTCATTTCCACTCATCTGTTTAACACGTTCTATAGGCTTTATATGCTTTCGATTGGTATATACATATACATAATAATAATTTTTGAATATTTAATTTAAAATATCCTGGCCATGATTTTTTAACACGTTAAATTTCATACAAAGTAGATTTCATCCATTAAGTAAACAGATGGGTGAAGGTCGTGCCTTTGTCGGATCTCCTACTAATTGATTTAGGATATTTAGGGGCATATTTTGGTAATTTATCGTGCTTTTTAGTAGGCATATTTTAAATTTTTTTCTGGAATGTGCCAGCCCTGCTTATGACTCTGCTGATATAATTATGTGTATGTGTTTCTTAAATATAGTGTGTTCAGAAATGCATCAAGCCAGAGCATCAGTCTCTTTTATTTCTAAACTATAATTGATTGAAATGTCCAATATACGCAACCACGGTTGAATACCGAGTTGGAACTCGGTAGCGCAAATTAGGCATATCCATCAAGTCTAGACATGAAAGAGACTGATGCCATGACTTGATGCAATTCTGAACACCGCCATAGGATGTACGAACATTTGAAAAATTTTGCCTTTTATAAAGTGAAGTGTGTCGTAGCTATTCTTATTCAGGTTTATCATTTTCGTAGATTTACCGAAAAATTTGCATACGATGGAGCAATAGCCTCTATGAAATTTTTTCCAGCGAATGCGCGTTATGAGTGAATGTGCGCCCTACGTCTACAATATACACCTACATATGCTAATTCATTAAGTTATAGTTCTTATTTATTTAATGATTACTGCCATTTTAGGTACTGGTGATCTTTTTGCCTCCCTCTTTTTGGCACACAGCTACGGGACTAAAGATCTTGGCAGCGCATTTGAAAAGACAATTGCTTCCCTTCAAGCAGTTATAAAGCGCACAATTGAATCGATGCCAAAGGATGTTCTGTCTGGAAAACGTAAAGTAACCGCTCACGAGTGTGAACTTAAATTGATACAAAGTAAAAGCGTTATTGAAAACCCACTGGTAGTGTTGAAGGCCCAACAATTCAAATAAACCGTCAAACTGTCAACGGAATGCTCAACGATAATTGTGCAGTCATACAATCGTCATGGCGGTTTTTCTATTAAAATATGTAAATATTTGCTATTATAATTATGGCATATGCATAGATGTGCATTTGTTTATCATTGTTTGTACTTTATATTGTTGCAATGTCATTTTTTGAGGACAATAATAAATGTGTAATGGTGTGTGTAATAAAAAAAAACATCTATTCAAACTCATTGAACCATTGAACACGCACAGTATTTGTGCAGTGACTTAAGCAAATAATACTCAGAAGACAGTAAAAGGTACTATAAAAGATCTGTAATGTGTACACAGATGACACTATTGTAAGCAACTGTGGAAGTTACGGATATGTGGAATTTAACTATGCTTACACTGCTGTTGTACGTTTTGCATCATACTGTTTTGGCGCATGACGTAGATGGCGAAAATGTGTCTCATGCAGAGGCTGCAGTTTTGCCATATTCGCTAAAAGCGGCCACAGGGAAAGATAACAGTGAGCGTTATACTTTGTTGACACTTAACCCAACTCACAACCAAGGAGAAGAACAGAAGGATATTGAAGCAAACAGTCTCAATATCCTGCAAAACCGCCGAACTGAAGACCCCTGGGAACGTATATCACTGCATTACAAAAATCAACTAACTCAACCAAATCAGCCGCCGATAGATGCATTTGGATATTACAACCCACACAGTGTTCTAGCTCATACCACGCCAGCTAATGTCAACCAATTTGCAGTCGGTACCGTAACCACGCCTTTACCACTGGCTTTGATGCTTATCCTAAATCTTGGTATGCTTTTCTACTTAATTGTTAGCATTATGTCAACGGTATCGGCTGCCACAGGTGGATTCAATTTTGGTATACCTCATCATATGAACTTTAGAAGAGATGATACCAGCAGTAAATACAATTAATTTTGAATTTATTCGCAGACGCAATAAAATGCATACATATGTAAATACATGGATGGAAAGGTGAAATTTTCATACACATATCTTACGTCGAATGTTATACTATGTTGCCGTAAGTTATCCAAATTTGTAAACCTGTTTTCTTAAAAAAAACGTATGTGGAATTAAATATATGTACGTAATGTATAAATAATACAAATGTATGGATGTACGTAAGCGTTTGTATATGAGAGTGTACGATATAAATGAGTAAACTATATTACATTAGAAAGAAATATGTATTTGATTTAAATTTTTTTAAGGCGATATTATTTCTTTACTCGAAAAGAGGCGGCCCGATTTATTCGAACGATTGGGTCATTGCTAGTGGTATTGGCCGAGCGAACTGCCTGTCGCTTCACTAGGTTAGCCGTGGTCGCGAGTGCTACAAAGTATAGATAAAAAGTAAGAATTCGGTACAAATTGTTCCATTATTTACCGAGCTTCAATACTTACACTTAACCATTATACTTCTCGGACTTTTGCGTACTCTCACTGGACTGAATTTTCTGTTTTCCTTTTGAACGCCAACAGCTACAGTTTTTAGAAGGCTGTGATGATTGAATGCTTTAGATTTAAGTAATGCTGCAACAAACAAAAAATCATAAGTTATTGTAAGCGATTTAAGTTTTTCACCAATAACTACCACTCTTTACGCGATCTTTGTTTATTGGAACCCTTGCAATCTGCTCTGACAGGATATTGCTGACCAAATTCTTTTTTCGCAATAACTGACTATTTTCTTTATTATCTGTCGTAGACTTTATCGCGCTAACGTCTGAATTCGTGCTGTATTCATCATCGGTCGTGCATGATAGCACATGCGTTTCATCCATATTACTGGGTATGGTTGAAGGTTTTTTGAAAACACTAATACCATCGTCTGAGTCGGTATCATCCATAACATCTAAACCTAACTCATAGTCAGTTTCTAGTTCTGGACTTTTCCTACGAGGCTTCTTTACGGTGCTCGTAGACGCAGGCAAATCGACCGTATTGATTTTATAGACACGTTTACCATTGTTTTGCAGTGTTGGTATTTCCAAATCTTCATCACTGTCCTTCTTATAATCATCATGTCCAAAATATGTGTGATTTTTTATAAAATGCTGCAGCTGTTCATATTTATCTTTCATATCACTATTGAGATTGGGGTACGATTTTTGTAGCAGTTCACATGCCATGCCAAAGGCCTTTCGAAGTTTATCTGAATCCCGCAAAAATTCTGTATTTATGCCGGATATGTGATTTATATTTATGTCCTGCTTCGAATAACGAACCTCCAAATCCTTTCCTTTTTGGTATATCTTTAAAATTTCCACATACTTTGATTCTTGAATTTCCTTCTTTAGCTTTTCCAAATCTTTATTAGCGTCATGCAGTTTTCTGCGCCAGCGCGTAGACTCTGCTTCAAGCTTGCCGATTTGTTTGTTGTAAGAGGGAAGTACCTTTAATGACATAAAACATTAATTGCAAGTTTGCGGTCATCAAGTTTTAAGTATTAAGTAAACCTAAATACATATATGTACATACATACTATGAGTTTAAGGGCCATTTTCTCATCTAACCTTTAGATTATCGGCCACTTTATCGTCTCGATATACGAGTTTTCGTTTTCTCATCAGCGCATTAATTTCTCGAATCGATGAAATGTTGCTCACCCGATGCAACCTTTAAAAATTTGTACCCAACTTTAAATTTTGGTTTGGTTTTGGTTCATGAGTCAGATATATTAGATATTTCAACCAAGGTTTTGGTTTTTTGGTTTATGGCGAATGTAGTGAAGTTTCACTCTACGGAATAACAAATTCATTTTTACCGGTAAAATAAGAAAACGAAAACACTTCAAAGTGACGAACAATTTATCTGCTCTGTTAGTAATGGTAACCTTACTGTTTACATTAGAAAACGGCCCTAAGTATGCCTTGATTATAAATAAATGCCTTCGATTTGGCTCAAATTTTGCACACAGCCTAATTCATACTAAACAGACAAGGAAAATCTGTCAAGGATGGTATTATTCATACTCGTGGTGATGAATGTATATTGCAGCATATATAAGTATAGACAAACGGCAGCGTTAATCCGGATCAATCTAGAGTTAATTCTCATACTTAACTGGCAGTCATATCATATCGTCGCTACAATGTCAAAATATCGAAAGTGAAAACCGTTGTAAAAAATGTTGCGGTCGCTAGGAAAAAGTGTGGGATTCGACACTTTGTTAAAGCCAGTCTCCTCTACTTATAAGAAGACTAGAAATTTGACGATTTGCCAACTTGCGTATCAATCTAAACGGATGGGAAAGGTATCGTAATTGAAAAAGCATTTTTTTGCAAATTCGATAGTTTGACATGGTAGCGACGATATGTAGAATAAAGTAGATTCGTTAGAGAATTTTCAGTACGACCTAAGCTCTATTGTTCCCTCAGAGCTCATTACAACACTTGGTCCAGTCCTAGTGCTCTGATGAAGCCGAGCAGTTTCGAGGGCTGTAGAGAGTGAATGTCTGAAACCTCCGGCCAGAGCCTTCTCTGGTGTGTTATCTATCTTCTCGCCACCGCATCACATTCTAAGAGGAGATGCCGTGAGGTCTCTGGTACCCTGTCGCAGTAGCGGCAGGAGTCGTCTGCGCTAACCCCTATGGTATGCAGATGGGCCCGCAGCCTGCAGTGACCTATTAGCAGTCCTGTAATAAATCTCAAATTAGTCTTGTGGAGTGTGATTAGTTCTCTAGATCTTCTGAGGATTTAGCTTCCCAGAAGTTCTTTCGCCTGCTTTGGTTCAGACCTGTTCTCCCAGTGTGCTCTACTTAGGTGCCGTTCTTCTGCTCTCAACTCTTCCCTGATAGTGTGAGGGCCGACTGCAAGGAAGGATTCTGGTCCTATAGGTCGAATGGCTGCTGCTTCTCTAGCTGGCCTGTCAGCCTCCTCGTTGCCCTGTATGCCTTTGTGGCCCGGGACCCACATCAGCTATACCGTGTTGAGTTCCCCCAGGGCGTTCAGTCTCCTTACACATTCCCATACTAACCGTAACCGCTTTTAATGCAGCCTGGCTGTCGCTGCAGACGACAATGTGCTGTCTTTTTGTCTCTGCAGAAATACTTCTGCACAATCATTGATGGCAAGAACCCCCGCCTGAAATTCCTACACCTATACCCTCGTCGGTTTTTGAACCGCCTGTGAACCACCCTGGGTTGTGGGGCCGTAAGGTGGTATCCAAGACTGTCTCGTTCCAGGTTACCTTTGCTGCTTAGTTCGGTTCTAAACTTTTTCTCGAAGGCTCTTATCGTAACCGTGTCACCTCTATTGAGCTGGTTCTGATTTCGTCTTCCAGTCTGCACGAAACCACCTTGCGTTTTCCAGTGCCCTCCCTCATGAAGTTGGGGAGGGTCTTCTTGGCAGTCTGTCCTATGACTATGTGCAGTGGCGACAGGTCCAGGATTACTTCCAGGGCCGCGATGGGACAGGTACGCATGGCGCCTGTTAAACAGGTGAAAGCAGTCTCCCCAGACCATGCCATATGTAACTATTGGCCTGACAATCATTGTATACATCCACCGCAGAATGTAGGGGCTGCACCCCATGATTTGCCGGCCAGTCTTCTGCACGCCATTAAAGCTCGTGTGTCTTTTGTTACAGCACACAGATGGGCGATTTAGCCCATTTAGGCGGCCAAAAGTCGAATTTTCCACAAAACAAACAAAAAAACTGCTGAAAATTTGCGTTTGCTGTGCGGTGACCATTGAAAATACTTACTACTGCTGAAAAATAAGCCGAAAATATTGCTGCAGTATTGTACCAGTTTTCTGTAAAAGTTTTCAATGAGTAAAGGGGGTGATAGGAAAGTCAAGACGCCCAACAAAGTTAAGAGGGGGAGGGGTTCAATATAAAAATTTGGAAAGTTGCAGGGGGAAAATAGTTATCAGTACATTTAGAAAAAATTCTCTACTTAAGGGCAAGTTCTAGTAAAAATTTTCAACTACTATATATATGTATGTATGCATCTCATTACTTTAAACAATCAATTCTTGTAAATATGTATGGATATATATCCAAAGTTTTCTAGGAAACGGCTTTAACAATTTTGATAATTATTAACTCCAAGAAGGCACAAAATATGCACTAAAAAATGAAATTTAAAAGACATTTCAAATAAAACAAAATACTATATACTATAGTTAGATCGATGAGTGTATAAAATTTTTACGTGTTTGATAAGGTTTAAATTATTTTATTAAAACTCAATATAATGGTTGGTCCATATAGTGTTTTTTCTAATCATATGTTATTTTGAATTTGATTTTTTTAAACAGGTAGCAATCCTACTAAAAGTAGTTGAACATTAAGCCCTTTCAAAGCCATTTTGGAAGATGTCAATATTGTTATAAATTATTTAACCTAATATATACATTGAGTTTAATTTTTAAACAGATGGCAACCCTGCTAAAAATAGTTTCAAACTATAACCTTATTAACTCTTTAAATGCTGGTGTTACATATACGTAACGCTCGAATTTCGCGGACTAATGTTGTTATGAAAATTTGTATTACATAACAAAGATTCACGAGTGTTACATATATGCTTCAGGTCGTACAGACACCCCTTGATAGAGGTCGAAACTTTTTATTATGAGTTATTGTACATATCCTCTCTTTCAGTATCCTCCAAAATTTGGTTTTAGTCTGACACCCATAGTCATGACACCATTGTTATACATATTTCAGTTACCTAATTTCCTTGAATTAAAGTTGAATTTAATTTTTAAACAGATGATAATTCTCCCACATGTTGTTTAGCAAGAAAGCCTTTTCAAAACCATCTCGATTGATACCCATATTGTAGTAACTCATTTAACTTAATTGCATTTAATTGTTTAGCAGGTGGCAACACTTTTTATATTCTAACCTAGGAATAAACCATCTCAGCGCCAATACGAATACGTGGGTATCAATGTTTCTGCAATCCGACCTCGTTAAGATGGATGTCAAACTTTAAGCAACTTTATTTTCGTTGTTTTGGTGGAATACCTGGACATCCTCCCCCTCTATTTACTTGATTTTAAACATTTACAGTTTTAAATATCGTAAGAAGTCGTTTCGAAATCGGTCAAATACCCCTATATGCAGTGTACTCGGCGGACTTTTACCATAAAATTTTGCAGTCGAAAATTACCCCTAGATACTTTACCTCATTGCACATTTCTATATCTATGCCTACTAGTGTTATATGTAGGGTGCATGCCTAGAAGGTTTCTTCTCCTAGTAAAAGTAATTATTGCTGTTTTGGCCGGATAATATGTGTGTATTTATGTATGTACATAAATATGTATGGGTCATTCCATACAATATTTACACCTCAATATTTTTTTTTTGGGTGAAAAACATTTTTTTACATTTTGTATCGAAAAAAAGAAGACACCAATTTTTTTATTTCGTCATGATATTCGAAAATCTCGGAAAAAAATCCCCAAATTTTAAACTCACGGAGAAGTATATTTTTTCTTTGTTTGCAGTTAATAAACTATTTGTCGGAGAAAATCATTTAAGGTACTTCTCCGTAAGTTCAAATTTTCGGGAAGGTTTTTTTTTCGAGATTTTCGAATATCATGGCGAAATAAAAAAGGTGTATTCTTTTAAAGTGCGTAAAAAAATATATTTCACCCAAAAAAAAAAATATTGAGGTGTAAATATTGTATGGAATGACCCGTATGTATTTAGGTACATCGTTACCTTAATTTACAAAGGCAAATTTTCTATTTTGCAGGAGAAGCATAAAACATTATAAAAAGTAAATCAAAAACTGCAGATAGGGCATTTGTGAATTAAGGTAACGATATGTATTTAATACTTGCATATTGGCAGTAACCTATCCGCGCAATGTGTTTGGATTCAGCAATCAAAGGGAGATAGTTTAAGGATAATTGTACGTTTTGCACATGTGCAGGTTTTACATGCATTAGTATCGGCATGGCTCAACCAATTTCCTCAGAAAAAGTAATTTGTTTCTGCTTATATAGCATCTGGCTTTAAATTGATGTATAACACCTAGCAGCCTGCTTGAGTTAAACCAAATGCTTACACCTTTGACATCTTTCCAAATAATTCAATATTAGTTGAAAAATTACACAGGCCGACAAAATTTTTACCTAGAAACCAAACTATACTTTCACGAAGGTTTTCGGTGCGCTGAATTCGAATTTGGCCACAGAACGGATTTTAAGATATTCTAACCTATAAGTGCAAAAAAATGCCGTTTTTGCCCATTTTTAAAGTTGTGTATGCAAGCCAGAGTAATTTTTTTCAAAAAAATACAAAAAAGATGTTAAAGTACAAGTATTTCTCTTTAAAATGGCGTTGAGTTTGCTCAAATATATTTTTGCTTCGCTGAGATATTACAAATTTAAATTTACGGATTTTCCAATTGCGGATAGTACACAGCCCGCTAT